TTACATAAACAAGATTAAAGTGTCATAAAGATGGAAGCACTAATCCCGAAAACGCAAGCCGTCATAACAAGTTTTACCTCTTGTTGAAGATCGAAACTGATGCAGCTCAACCCGAAAGTAAGAACTCGTCGAAATAAAACTAAAGCAAAAGGGTGGCGATGCGCCAAAATTGTATTGAATGTGTGTGTTAATTTATTACATGGGGTTCGGGGTCTATTTATACCCGAAAATTACAAACTATGTCCATGTCGGACACGACTCTTATCCCTAAGAAACTCTAAGATACCATAAGTCTTTGCGGCAGACTTTTGCCCTAAACATATCTCTAAGGAAATTACATAAAACATCCTAATTAATAGATACAATTGCCTTCTCAGGACTCTATCCATGTGCGGCAATCATCTTGAAACATATCAACTCAACCTGATGTTGTACACCAAGTCATATTGTCGGAATCGGCTGTATCACTTAACCCAGTCTGACTCAGACTTAGCCGATCCAATCGTAGCCGATCCAGACTCCAGCCGATTCTTGCTCTGTTCTCGAATCGATCTCCGTCTTCGACTCCACTTCAATCTAATCCTCCTTTCCGATGCTGATATTACCAAATTTGGTCGTTAACAAATCCTATTGTTATCCTTTCACCACAATCAGTAGTTTTCTGAGAAGTTAATTTCTTTGCATACACTGATGAACTCTGTAGTAAATTCTCTGCAGGCTCTTTCTTGCTCAATTAATTATCGCTCACTCTATAACAGATCAACTCTGGATTTAGACTTCTTTGGCCAAGCACTATGGCTAAAATGGCATGCCAAGCTTGGAACAGAAAGGTCAAGCAATTTTTCCAACCACGGTGCAGCACGTGGCTATAGCACTAACACTAATTTCTATCATATGTAGGCAGATCCAATTGATGCTGGCACAGGCTTTGGTGAATCACTGATGGGTGAGAGACCTACAGAGTTCCTTGTCCAACAGAGCAATGGCTGAGTTCTTTCAGTTGTGGGATGAAATTTAGATGGTGCAGCTTCAACCAGGAATAGCCCCGACTCCATTCGGTGCTAGCTAACAGGTGATGGCCAGTTTACTTTCTCATCGGCTTACAACCTCTTCTTCATGGCAAAGACCAAATGTTTATATAGTGAACTGCATAATTTCGATTCTTGCTATTCATGATGATCTGTTGGTTGATCTGGAAAGACGGAACACTTGGGTATTTGAGCAGAGGTCTTGACCTACAGAGCAATTATTTGGAGACATCAAGGAGATCACGATTTGGAAGTCGGCTAGCATTTTTTATCCTGCAGTGATTATTTATTAGTGTTAGTTGTTTATTGTGGTCTGATGCTTTGCCTCATACCTTTGTTCGACATCATAGTACTTTGTACTTTGTTTCTCCCTAAATCTTAATAAATTTGGTAGGCCTAATCCTTTGGCCAACCTGGTAAATCATTTCAGTAGTAAAAAAATGTGTTTTCCTGGTCAGATTGATATATATATATATATATATATATATATATATATATATATATATATATATATATATATATATATATATGATTTCTTCTAGGCTGAAACTCTTGGCTTGGAGAAACTTTGTTGCATACTGTAGCAGGAACTGCAACAGATTGAAAATTGATGGTATCAAAGGTTCTTAATAATACAAGCAATAAGTTGTCAAAGAATCATTGTTTGATTTTGTAGTGCCAAAATTCCAATCACACTTAGTGGCTAATCTTTTTATTTTGACTAAACTAATGCCACATGTTAGCAGCAGTAGCAGAATTTTTTTATTTTGGTTTCAGGTTTTAGAACTGATGTTATTTGTTGCTCCAAATAATCCACCGATATTGTCAGGTGGGAGCTATTTGACTTGTGTGGCTAGAAGTATTCGAGTCAATCATCTGCTTGCCGTGTTTCAAAAAAAAATCATCTGCTTGCCTCGGCCTACTTCAATAAACAACGGAGGATGCTCTACATCATAATCGTATGCAAATACAGATAATACACACCATATTTCCCTTCATTTGCAAAGTCGTAATAAACTAAATAAGAACAGGTACCACATTCATATTTGTCTGATAGATCTCAAATCCATATATTGCTAATGGTCTACTTCTCAAATTGGTTTTTACACCTCAATGCATGTTTTGTATTCCGTTTGTCACATATTTTATCAATCAATTACAGTTCTTTGAAATTGGATCATGACTTCCAACTTGTAGCAGGTAATTGCATTGTATCACACGTTCATTACAAGATACTCAAAGCAAAAACGGTAATATGTTGGTTAGCTGCTTGCACTTGCAATGAGAGCATAGAGGTTCTGTACTTACAATCTGAGGTCAGGATCACGTTCCATATATTTTTACATAGAACACTATTGCATGAATTGCACTATTTGTAGATGTTCTATAGTTAATCAACTATGTTACCTTAAATATACATGGTGTGTTCTAGATTCTGAAATGTTTAGCAAACTTAGTCAATATGTAGATTAACTATCACAATTCATGTCACTTTTTCATATCTAGCGAACTTATCTAACTTTTCTTTTTAGGTTAAAAAAATGCAGGAAAAACGTTTAGGCTGTCGAAGCAAATCCATCAGGAGGACACCATGGCATCTGATGTTGTCTACTATGCATCAAAGAGATTACTGGTTGTTTCTATTCCTTCTTTTTGGTTGAGATAATTTGCGTTAATATAATGTTTTCATAGAAGTGAGTCAATCTTGATTTGTTTGGTTAACACGGGTTATGTGTTGAACGTGTGATCCAATAGTATGGCTTTGTCATGTTTTCTTATCAGCTAATTGTAAGTCCTTAGCAACTGGAATGCTGGATCATGACTAACAAGTGAAAAGGATCAATGATAGTTTTATGCTGGTGCAGACATGCAATGCCAAATAAAACATGGATAATTCCTTCTTGTTTGTGCAGGCTTCTTAGCACTCAGTAATTTATCTTTTCGAAATTTCTATAGTTGTTGCTCATATACAAGGGATAATTTTGTTGCTCAGTCTCACAAGGACAGCTCACTACCTATCCATCTAAAATCTGATTACACATTTGCCCATTAAATGCTACTATGCACAACAAGAAGCAACGAATTCTACTATACACAACAAAGAAGCCACGATTGTACTCTTAATTCAAATCTGAATTTGTTAGGACATATTATTGACATATAACCACATAAATAAATCCAAAGTATATATAATATTTTTGTTTCCCCATTTCAAGGTCTATATGATTTTACTTATTTGGTTTTGGTCCGCATACTGGTAGTATGCCTGAGAGTGGTTATGTTGATGACTGTTAAGAGAATGACAAGTCAATATCTTGCTTTGATACCTTTTTTTTTTGCATTTTTGATTTAGCTAAAAATAACCATGTACTGATAATGGTTATTTTTATTGTTACAAATTCCAATTACATGAGGATATGTTTTATAAATTTTGGGTAAATAGGTTGTGCTTCAGAAGGTGTAGTTTCTAAAATTTTTAGTGTAATTATGTACTCGGGTGATATATTTTGTCAAAAACGTGCATTGCACGTGCACGATTACTAGTTTAGTAACAAAAGCAACAGAAAAGGATGCTTTAACATATAGAAGTTGAATCTATAGGATGAAGATTAAGGGTGCACGTAAAACGAGACAAGTCATTAGCATATGGTTAATGAAGTTTTAATTATTAAAAAAAATAAAAAAATAGATTTATTTGATTTTTTTAGAGCAACTTCTATATAGAAAGTTTTCGCACGAAATATACTTGTTAGTAGTTTGAAACGTGCTAACGGAAACCGAGAAAAAATCTGTATGTTATTGGAGGTTAGAACGGGACCATAATAAAGTGAATTAACTACACCAACCATTGTTTTAGAGTTGAAAACTTCTCTTCACCGGTTTGCCAAAAATGGATAATCTCCCATGACTTTCGATGTTATAGGAAAACCAGCTCAAATCGATAGGTTTATACAAATCAACCACCGATGGACTGAAAAAACTGATCAATTTTGTTAGACATGAACTTCACATAATAAACTAAATAATACAACCGATATAGATCACTACTACAACCGATATTGGGGAGCTTATAATTCTGAGAAGCAGCTGGTGAAAAGCTAGCTAGTGAGAATCTAGATAAGCTGACAAACCTTGCTTCTAGCTTCTAATTTATTTTCTAGATTCTACAATTACAACATTTCAAAATCTAGGTGAATATATGTACTGTTTGGAGGAGCTTCTGACAACAGGAGATCATAGGAGAAGCTGCAACGGTCAAAAGCTCCCCAAACATGCCCATTAATTAGCTGAACAATTTATGATGCCACATTTTTATTAAAAGAATATTCAAAACATTTTAGCTGCAAATAAAATTTTTGTTAGACACACTATATAAGAGAATATGATAAAATAGTTGATTATCTACTTAAAAGAGAAGATAGAATAGATTTTAGAAAGATGTTCATTAAACAGATTAATTTGGGCTATAAACACCGTAAAACAGAGTGCAGAGTGTAGACTACGACAGGAAGGGAAAGGTGCGAATATTAGATCAGCATCTCTCCGGCTTCACCGAACTGGCAAGTGGGCCCATCCCTCCAATCTCGGCGGATCACTCTCATACCCCATCGGTCCATCCGCCCCCCCCCCCCCCCATGCACACGCATCATCCAACCAAACCCTCCCCCCCAAAATTTCTACTATATTCCTCTCGACGGCCGTTGCCACGCACCGGCGACCTACCCGCGCGCCTCCGCACCCCCCCAACACGTCGAAATTTCCACGTGGCGCGATCCCACTGGCCGACCCCCTCACCCCGCGCTCCCCATTGGCCGCAGCCCCTGGCCCACCCGCGCCACCGTGGACGCCGCGCTTACCGTCACCTCCGCCGGGCCCACCCGTCAGTGACTCGGGTACGGCCGCGGTGAGCCCACCGGGTCGGTGACCGGAACCCCACCCCCCCCCCCCCCTAAAACCCACCCCGATCCGCGGCCGCTATTAAGCCAAGGCCGCGCTTCCGCCGCTGCAGCCGATACGGGAGATTGGATCGGAAGCTTCTAGAAGTTTCCGTGGGCGATGGCGATCCGCGCGAGGTCCTCCTCCTACGCCGCCGCGGCGGTCGCGCTGGCGCTCGCGCTGGCGTCCGTCGCCGCTGTCGCCGGCGAGGTCTTCTTCCAGGAGAAGTTCGAAGGTGAATGGCTGACCTGCTCCCGATCCCGTCTCGATCGATCTGATCCGGTTCGCTGCGCGTTGCGGGTCTCGGCTTTGGATGTAGTGGAGGCGTCGCGTGGGGGTGTTTGGTGGTGGGTTTGTTTGGATCTCTGGGGTTTTCGGGATTTCTCTGGGGTTTATACGACTAGGAGGCGTGCTGGTTGTTAGGGATCTGGAGTGTTAGGCGCTAAATTGGGTGCTGATCGTGGTTTGTCTCGCCATTTTTGGATGGTTGCTGCTGCGGTATGGTGGGATCTGATTGATCTGACGTGCATTTGCTCGTGGGAATGGGATCTAGTTGCGTCGTCTAGTAAGCGTGCGCTGTGACGCTGTGTCGATCTGCTTTATGTGAATTGGTTATGGTTTTTTGTTAGATTGTGGGAAAAAAAACGTGGTTGGGTTGATTCGGATCGAAAAATGTTAGGTTTGTTTGGTATATGATCCGCAGGTTTGGATACTTCATTGTAGGGAGTAGTTGGTATTCTGCTGTATAATGTGGTGAATTTTACTTTACTTTATACTGCGAAATGGGAAAATTTAGAGCCCAGACTTGGTGATGTTTTGTGATTGAACCTTATGCTTTATGTATGTTGTTTAATTCTGATGTTTCATATGTTTAACCTGAATATGAATAAATGTTTAAGATCTGCCTATGCTAGTGCTACATTTGAAGCATACTAGTGAGAATTGGCAGCTTATGATGGTTGTCACCTGTCCGTGTCCATTAGAATGTGATTTGCCACTTATCTGCATATGGGATATGGCATTATGAACCAGGTGCATTTTACACTTCAGGTTTTGGCGTATAGTTTATTAGTTCTATACGGTATGTCTGGAGATCCATAATTCGAATGTGTTGATCTGTATTGCTAATGTCGCCTGTTAAAATTTTGTCTGTACTACTATTTAAGGAAATCTCCGGGCAGATAATGAATTTGCGTGATCATTTGCTGGTTCTGCACATGATGCACTGAACATGGAGTTCTGTGTTATCTAAATGTATTCTATTGTGTGCACAGATGGATGGGAAAGTCGGTGGGTCAAGTCAGAATGGAAGAAGGATGAGAACATGGCTGGTGAATGGAACCACACATCTGGGAAGTGGAATGGAGATCCTGAGGACAAAGGTAAATTGGAAGATCAATACACCTCATTCAGACACTAACAGATGATTTTTACTGAATTATTTTTCTTGTTGCAGGTATCCAAACCTCTGAGGACTACAGGTTCTACGCTATTTCAGCGGAGTACCCAGAATTCAGCAACAAGGATAAAACCCTGGTGCTGCAGTTCTCTGTAAAGCATGAGCAAAAGCTTGACTGTGGTGGTGGATATGTCAAGTTGCTTGGTGGTGATGTTGACCAGAAGAAATTTGGTGGGGACACACCGTACAGGTAATGATTTTCTTCTATTGTAGCTCTGATTCTCACTTTTCTCAAGATTAGTACTAGTTATCTAACTTGGTACTTTTGAATGCAGCATTATGTTTGGACCAGACATCTGTGGGTACAGCACCAAGAAGGTCCATACTATCTTTACTAAGAATGACAAGAACCATTTGATCAAGAAGGATGTCCCCTGCGAGACTGATCAGCTGTCCCATGTGTACACTTTGATCATCCATCCTGATGCTACATACACCATACTTATTGACAATGTTGAGAAGCAATCTGGCAGCATCTACGAGCACTGGGATATTCTGCCTCCGAAGCAAATCAAGGACCCAGAAGCTAAGAAGGTATTTTGCATATTCCTAGCTTTCTTGGAATGCCTTGCTTTTGTGTCTCTTGAATGTTAAGATATTACCTTATGATTACAGCCAGAGGACTGGGATGACAAGGAGTACATTCCTGACCCTGAGGACAAGAAGCCTGAGGTACTTTTCCTTTGTTCTGACTTCCGATATATCTTGTAAAAATGACTAACTTCGTATCTTGCATGAATGAGAAACGGGAACCTTAGCTGACCTGAATTAGAAAAGTTCACACTATATTGTACTCTTGTAATACTATATGTCTTAATAGATTTAAACGTGATGCTAGAAACTAGGAAGAAGCTACATGTTTTTGTTGTGTAATGACTTGTGGTATGCTGTTTCCAGGGATACGATGATATTCCCAAGGAAATCCCTGACCCTGATGCTAAGAAGGTACTTAATTGTTATACCATTTTATGGTTTATGTTATATATGATGAGCGTCATTCTAGGTTTTAAAATTTCTTTGATGTGATTTCTGTAGCCTGAGGACTGGGATGATGAGGAAGATGGTGAGTGGACTGCACCAACCATTCCTAACCCTGAGTACAAGGGACCATGGAAGCAAAAGGTGTGAATATCTGTTTACTGATGCAGATGCACTTGAAACACTTGCATATTTCTGGTTTCTGACATAAACATGTTTCTTTTTCCAGAAAATCAAGAACCCTAACTACCAAGGCAAATGGAAGGCACCGATGATCGACAACCCAGGTATAATTGCCTTTAATTGAACAACTTGGTATTACACATTTTTCAGATGTTGAACTCTGCATTCTGAACTGTTTCCTTTGTGGTTCACAGACTTCAAGGATGATCCATACATCTATGCTTTTGACAGCCTGAAGTACATTGGCATTGAGTTGTGGCAGGTTAGTTAAGCAAAGTACAGTACGCCTTTAGTTCTGATTTATTTTGCTGGGTCAGGAAGACAGACATAAATAGTTATGAACTTATCCCTTCTCTCTTCTATCAACAGGTCAAATCAGGTACTCTGTTTGACAACTTCCTTATTACTGACGACCCTGAGTTGGCCAAGACATTCGCAGAGGAGACATGGGGCAAGCACAAGGATGTATGTCGTTCTTCACCTAGCTTTTACCGTGTAATAGTTTCGTTATCGACCCAACATTCTCTAACATTAGTGAATCTTGTAGGCTGAGAAGGCTGCTTTTGACGAGGCAGAGAAAAAGAAGGAAGAGGAGGTAAATTCCTTCACCTTACAATGTTCTAATATGAGGATGATGGATGTACAACTGTCCTTGTCATTGCATTTCAGTCTGTGCTCCATTTCACTGTCTTTGCTATACGTTTTGATTTTTGTTGGCATGAACACCAGTTCCTTGATGATCAGTGGGCCATTGCTTCCACTTAATTATACTATGGTGTGATCAAAACCTTTTAACTCACTGGCATGGTTCTGTTATTTGTAGTTTTACGTATTATCTTCTGATTGTTACACCAGCATAGCTTTAAGCAACTGAAATATTCTCCTTTGCTGAACTGCCATCACTCGTGGTTATTGTGGATGTAATTTGCTTACCATTGATTATCAATGTCCTTGTTAACAGGAAGCTGCCAAGGCCGGTGAGGACGATGATGATTTGGATGTAAGATTTGCATCCGTTCTTCCTCCATGTTCTATATTTTCCTTTTGGGCTTGATCTAAACCTCAACAACATTTATATTTCACAGGACGAGGATGCTGAGGATGAGGACAAGGCCGATGAGAAGGCTGACTCTGATGCAGAGGATGGCAAGGATTCTGATGATGAGAAGCATGTATGTAACACTCCTGCGTTTTCTTGATACCTTCTGGATTCTGGTGATGCATTTCCTGTTAACCTCCATGTGTCCTGATCACCGTCCTTCCTTTCCAGGATGAGCTCTAAGATGGTGAGGATGAAGAATGGAGGCCGCCTTCGCGACGATGCCAGGATTTGCTAGTTCTCCCATTGTTATGAAGTTCCCTTTTTCGTGATCAGAAACTTGACAAGAAAGTACTCTGTAGATGAGCATTGCTGAGGAACTTTAATTTGGTCTTTGTAGCTCTCTCTGTAGTGTCATTTTTCCCACCACAAGAAAAAGAACTGATAACTTATTGAACAAGAGAAATCTTTTGCACAATCGCTCTGCATCCTGCTGTGATTGTATATGTGCTTGTGCCATTTCCCATTGTTTTGCCATAGGGAAAGCGTCTTCAGTCGTTACTCGTTAGGCACCTGGTCACCTATGGCATGGAGTCGAATCGATGAGAAGGCCGAGATAGAAATGCTGGGCAAGTTTGCGTTCCAAACTTCCAATGCCAAGTCTTTCTGGTTAATCAAAGAAATCCCTCACATTGCCTGTTTATTGATACCATCAGAAATAGTTTGTTTGCATTCCGCTATTGTGGCAATATTCTCCCACGACCGCAAATAACTAAATATGGGTTGATCAATTGAGCAAGATCCAAAGCAATGGTGGAATATGCTTGTCCGAAGAGTGGTATTGCTTTTTTTGAAAACCAAGGGGGTTAACCACAAAATTAGCCAAAACAACCTAATGGGGATATAAAGTTAACTGATACTCCATCCGTTTCACAATGTAAGTCATTCTAGTATTTTCCACATTTATATATTGATGCTAATGAATCTATCCACATTTATATATTGATGCTAATGAATCTAGACCTTTAAAATGTAAGTCATTCTAGTATTTCTCACATTCATATTGATGCTAATGAATCTAGGTCTAGAATGACTTACATTGTGAAACGAAGGGAGTAGGAGATAAGATTAGGGCAGACAGCGCTTGGATCAGGCTTGTAGTTCGTCGGTACATGATATCGCTATATCCGCATATATTTAGTCCTTAACTAGTGCATAGTATTTTAATTATATCAAAATTATTCGTATTTACTGAGTTTTTTATTTAGTGTTTCTTATTATACTAATTATGATTAAATAGTAAATTTAAAATTATTAATATGATATAAATGAGATATAACAACTAGTGCTTAGTATTTTAATTATATCAAAATTATTAGTATTTAATGAGTTTTTTTGGTTATTTAGTGTTTATTATTTATACTAATATATGATAAAATAGTAGATTTAAATTATTAATATGATATGAGATATAGCTCGTTGACGAGATTGCTATCTCGTTAAGATAATGAGCTTAAACGAGTCTTAGCCTTAACAACCCGAGCTAGCTCTTTATCCATCTCGGATAAGATACCTACTAGTTAGGTCATAACCTCAGTGGCTTAGAGTAAGTGTTAGTAGCTATACCTTTTTTGACTGATAATACTTATCATTTTGTACTATGACGAGGTTAATTTTAAAATCTTTGACTATAAATATTTTCTAAAGTATTTATTCTAAAAATATAGAGACCATATTAATAAATTGGTCTTAAAAGGTACTTCAATAAAATAATATATTTGTTGATATTTCTATATATTATAAATAAAAAGTGGTCAATGTTGCTTTTGAGACCGTGTAATTGTTCAAAACGATAAGTATTATCATCCTGAAGAGAGTAAGGGTTTAACTTTTCGATTTGGAAGTGAAAACGCTCATCACCGGTTTACCAAAATTTAACCGAAAACCATTAAAAACTGATGACTTTCGGTCAAAGCCGTACGAAAACCGGCTAAGGCTGTGTTTGGCAGCCCCTCTTCCCAACCCATCTCCCTCGTTTTTCGCGCGCACGCTTTTCAAACTGCTAAACGGTGTATTTTTTGTAAAAAGTTTCTATACGAAAGTTGCTTAAAAAATCAAATTAATCCATTTTTCAAAAAAAAGCAAATAATTAATCACCCGCTAATCGCTGCTCCGTTTTCCGTGCGGGCACTTACTGTTGGGAACCAGGGGTTCCGAACACACCCTAATACCGACCGGTTTTCATAAACCGAGATCTAGCAGTTTCACCACAGCCCACCAATTTTTGTGAAATTCCATCAGTTACGTGATCCCTGAAGAGAGTACTAAGTAGAGCATAAATAATGATGTGATGTCAGCATCTCATAGTAAATGCCACGTTAGATTTTATAATGGGTTCAGGAGAGAGAAATAGGTTAGAATGACCGTTGTTTGAGTAAATGCCACATTGGATTTACAATGTGTCAAATTTTACAACTTTTTACATCCTACTCCCTCCGTCCCAATAAACCCTCCGTCCCAATAAAAAATAAATCTAGAGTGTATGTTGGTTTTTTTATAGAACGGAGGAAGTATGTTTTATTTTGGATCACTCTTTAACCAGGCCGAGCCGACCCATCAGCTGGCCTAGCAGGCCGAGGCAAACTAACCTCGCCCCGCGCTCTGCAACTGCAAAGGATTATTTTCTGCTTTCGTGTTCACTGAATTTCTGCTGGTCTAATGACCACCACTTTATGCACATCTCAAATGAAAATTGAAGCTCCTTCCAAATCAGCATCACCATCGTATACCCTTTTTATAAAAAAGAAAAATCATAAATGTTTCAGAACTACGCTTATGCACTGCCTCGAGATTTCGCCTTGACCTCCTCGTGCTCGGCAACACAAGAACAAAACACCCCACACTGCACAGCAGCTCTTGAGCCATCAAGGTTGACAAAAACACGCATGCTGCATACTAACCACATCACGATGAAAATCAGAGGAACACCAAATCGTTTTCCAGTACATGATAACACTTGTAATAGCTGTGATGTTCGACAATGATCAAAACAAAGCCCAAAGATATACAGAAACAAATAGGTACAACAATCAGAAAAGCGTTGCATTCTAAATCACAACCCATCCAAAGTAGAAATGCAGCTGATGTAAAGATACTAAGTACTAAACAATAGGTGATTGAATGTTCTGTTGGTTTGCTTGCAAAAAAAAGAATAGGTATGGCAGAATCTTATCAAAATGTGAATATGCCAAAAAACTGAAGCCGTCACACAATCTTCCTACTGCTCAGCCTTCTTCACCTCTTCCGATGACTCGGGTTTTGTTGGCTCAACCTTCATCACCTCTTCCCATTGCCCATCTGATGCTTGCTTCCACAGAGTTATGTTGTTCTCACCAGCAGCTACAGATAATATGTTTCCAGTCAAGGACCAGGAAACCCTCCAAACAGGGGACCCGAAGTCGTGCATGACCTTTCCCTCCCACTTATCACCAACTTTCCCTCTACTCCAAATGACAACCTTCCCATCTTGAGAAGCGCTGGCGATGGTCGCCTTAGCTAAGCCCAACACTGGTGCCCATGCAACATCTCTCACACAGTCTGTGTGAACATCTGAAGGAAGAGCACTCTCCAGTTTCCAGCCACCATTGACAAATCCCCAGACCTTAACAACTGAGTCAAAACCACCAGAGACAAGCTTATAAACAAGCTCTCCTGAACCAGCCAGAGAACCAAGTGCTGTTGCTGGAGCCCAGGAGATTGCTGTCACACCAACAGGGTGAGCTCGCTCAATCCTTGCAGTGTCCCATCCCCCATCAGCTCGCATAGTCATGACAGAAATGGTTCCATCAGAAGACCCACAGGCGAGACAAAGACCAACCTCATATGGGGCCCAAGCAATGGAGTTGACAGAGGACTTGTGGTCAGTAAATACATGGGCTTGAGACCAGTGGCCTCCAGCACCCTCCTTCCAAATGATCACACGCCCATCATAGCTGCAGGATGCGAGGATAGTACCATACTTAGGATGGGCCCATGCGACACGCCACACAGGGCCATAGTGCCCGCTGAGTGTTGCAAGGAGCTGGGATGGGGCAGATTTGCCGCCTATGCTGGAGATCTTGACAGTGGAGTCTGAGGAGGCAGTTGCAAGGCGCTTGCCATAGTAGTCGATAGCTGAATCATGGACCATGTCCTTGTGGTCCAACTCTATTTTCTTCGATGACATGGTTCAAAGCTGTAGTGTGCCACAACCTCTAAGTCCTCCACAATTCTGCACATGATTAAATAAAAGTTTCAGCACCAATTCATGGGCATAGCAGCCTAAATTTGCGAAACTAGATAATAGAATCCCACCCGAAGTGCCCTAAACGGTTAACAAGGACCAAGAAATAGTCACCTCACAAACTTAATATTAACAATCTAAACACCATTTTTTGTCATACTCCCAAAGAGACAGAAGGGGGATGCAATAGAACAATGCTGGTGTATCATCGCCTCATAAAATCAACCATGGAATTAAACACAACGAGACTGTAAATAAGTATGTAGACGAGGCTCAAGGGTCACCATTGGCAAATGGTACTAATTCACAAACTTTGTTAGACTTGTGGCAAACCACTATAGTAAATGTTGGTGGCTTCAAAATAATAACAGAACCACTTACATGCTAACCTCATGAATGAGTATAACAAGGCATTGGATTAATTCGATGAATTGACTTAACAGGATGTAACAATTTCACAGCTCAAAACACGTTCAAACATGGATTTGAATTCCTCAGGCATGAGAAGAACAGAAGTTTCGATAGACTATAATCTAAAAAATGAAAACAAAATTAATTATACCCCTCATTATTTCACAGCTCCCAAATCTATACAATTCTGATTCTTCTCTATCATGTCAAAAAATAAAAGAAAGATAGCTGATCTGGTGTGACCTACACCCATTCCCTCATTCCACGAGATCTTGCGCCCCCCAGAGGGCGGATCCAACTTGGGACATGGGGGTTCAGTTGAACCCCCAAACTTTTGGGTGAACAAAGAAACTGTTACTTGTATTAAGGTTAAGGCTCTGAAATTAAGAGAAGAGCTCCTTCCAGATCTAGAAGAGAAGCTAGGGTAAACGAACGGAACGCAAGCGAATTCCAGACAAAAGTAGTCCCGGTGGGAGAGAGATGAATCAGAAAGAGGATGTGGATGCTCACCAGGATCCCCTCCCCTGCCCTGCTCTGCTCGCCGGATGGAGATCGGCGCCCCTCCCCTGTTCAGCCGCGACTCGTCTTGGCGCAAGGAGCGGAGGAGACGGGAGATTTTCTTTTTTGACGCCTAAGGGAAGGGGAAGATACTCGAGTTAAGACGTGGCAGTTACTGGGAATATTTAACTATTAGCCACTTTTTAGACGTGGCAATTAAGGATTTGACACTAAAATACTAAGGCTGAGTTCGTATGGGGGAGATGGGTACCCAACTTCTGCGTACGGAAAACGGAGCAGTCCATTAACGCGTGATTAATTAAGTATTAGCTATTTTTTTTCAAAAAGGGATTAATTTGATTTTTTTAAGCAACTTTTGTATAGAAACTTTTTACAAAAAATGCACCGTTTAGCAGTTTGAAAAGCGTGCACGCGGAAAACGAGGGGAAGAGGATGGGAAAAGGTGCATGCGAACACAGCCTAAGTGTGTGTTTAGTTCAGCGTAAATTTTGTATTTTGGTTAAAATTAGAGATGATGTGACTGAAAAGTTGTGTATGTATGACATATTGATGTGATGGAAAAGGACTAAAGTTTGGATCTAAACACAGCATAAACCCATATATCGCAGATAGAGAAGGGTATAGACTATGAGTGGTAAATAGTTAAATGCTATATTTTAAAAGTGACGAATAGTCAAATATCCTGAATTAGATGGATGAAAACAGTTCGGAAATGGAAAGCGTCCGTCCGAATTTTTTCGAAAATAAATTCGGAATTTTTTTCTCAGAAACGGAAACAAATATGATGATGCTACTATCCGTCGAAAACGAATTTGTGGACTTTTCGAAAACAAATTCAGAATTTTCTTTTCTCGGAATCGGAAACGAAATATTTCTCATATACAGCTGATTATCTTCAGACTTTTCTACTCCAAATATTTAGATTTATACTATGTGCCATAGTACTTATAATTGGAGTTATGGATGAATATAGTTATTTTTCTCCAAGAAATTAAACTGTATAACTAGTTGTGTTATTATTAATTGATAAAAATTAGAAATATTGATTTATTGTTTTACAAAAGATATTGAGGTATATCTCTTCATCGATTTGAGAAGTTTAGCTTAAGGGGTTTTTATATTCTAATAAATATCATTACCGTATTAGCTTCGATTCGTATTCGCTCCATTTTTATATTCAATAATATTCTATTCCTTTTTTTTTGTATCTGTGGTTTTCGATTTCGAAAAGAATATGGAAGCGGAAACTATAAAAGTGGTTTCCGAACCGTTTCCATCCAATCGAGTACTCTACCTTTATATCTTTTTCTTACTACTTTAAAACTAGCTTTATCTTTATGATGACTAGTGGCCCACAGATCAGCAGTACTCAGAGAAAAAAGTACAACAAACTCCGTTGGGGATTGTGTTGACAGCAACCTCATCAGACCACTAGCAACCACTAGCTGATGCTTCACGAATGTCACACCCTGAAGTTCTTCCCCTAAGCCTAAATGGAATTAATAATTGGTCTCGAGAAAATACCTGTGTAAAAGCAAGAGTGAAACCCTAATTAATTAATGTAAATAATAATCGGAATTGGCATGTGGAATTTTTCTTGAGTTCTACATGTCGAAATATGCTAACAAGATTTTTAGTGGAATTTTCAGAACTCTAGGGATAATTTTAACCAATTAAAAATGAGCATAAGCATTATTTAAATCCCTGGAAATTCTTTTCCCTTTTTCTTTTTCCCTTTTTCCCCTCCTTTTTTCCTAATGGGCCGCCGGCCCATTTCCTCCTCCCTCCCGTACCGTGCTGAGCCGGCCGAAGGCCACGGCCCAGCTGAGCCGCGCCTCCTCCCTCCTCCCGTCGGGTCGCCGACAGGTGGGGCCCACCTGTCGGGCCCGTCCCCAACCTCCGGCCACCCGCCGTCCGCAGCCGCCACCTCGCAACCGCCCGCGCCAGCCTTCCCCGCGCCACGTCGGCCACGCCCGCGTGTGCGCCCGCCTTTCCCGTGCCCCTCAACTCCCTCTCCCGCTCGCCCGCGCCCCCGAGATGGCCGGGATCCGCCTCTCTCTCCACCTCCACCTCCCCATGTCGGCCGGCGAAATCGGGCCGCTCCCGGCCACGTCCGAGCCCCCTCTCCCCTATTTAAGCATCACCGCTCTCCTCTCTCTCTTTTTCTCCATTTCGCCGAGCTCCCCCGTGCCCTCCACTGCCCTAGCGCCGTTGCCCTCCTCTCCGCCGCCGCCGCCGCCGCTCCGGTCGCCGCTAGCCGCTGCGCCAAGCCGCGCCATCGCCGCCGTCGGGTTCACGAGCCCGGGGGCCATGCCGTCCACCCCTCCGCCGCCAATTTCGACATCTTGGTACATCTTGGTACATTTTTCTTTGAGATCTTAGTACATCTTGGTACTGCCTGGATGAATGGAGTACTGAGTCTGATGAGCCTCGGTGAGTATCAGATCTTTCAGCTCTTTGTCATCAGGTACGCACAATCTTTCTCCCAACCAGATTGTGCCGTGCTCATCTTCAAGGAAATCCTGGGATTTTCCAACCCTCATATTCTTTTTCAGCTCTGCTATTTCAGGATCATTTACCTGAGCTGCTCGGACTTGGTCCACGAGCGTAGGCCGTGCCTCTAGGGCAGCCATGTACCCGTGTTCTACAATTCCCAAGTTGAGATGTTCAAGTTCCTGCTACAATTCTTTACACATGTCTTCGGTGCACGAAGCGTTGCAGTAGCTTTTCCTGCTTAAGGCATCTGCCACCACATTGGCTTTGCCTGGATGGTAGTGAATGCTCATATCATAATCTTTGATTAGCTCCAACCATCTTCGCTGACGGAGATTTAGATCAGGTTGGGTGAAGATATATTTCAAACTCTTGTGATCCGTATAGACTTCGCAGCGGTTGCCAATCAGATAGTGCCTCCAGATTTTCAAAGCGTGAACCACCGCTGCCAATTCCAGGTCATGTGTTGGATAGTTTCCTTCATGTGGACACAACTGTCGCGAGGCATAAGCGACCACTCTGCCTTCTTGCATTAAGACACATCCAAGCCCGTGACGGGACGCGTCACAATAAACCTGGAAGTCTTTCGTCTGATCGGGCAGAATCAGAACTGGAGCAGACACCAATTTCTTCTTGAGCTCCTCAAAACTCTTATCATACTCGGCTGTCCATTTGAATTTCTCATCTTTCTTAAGCAACTGAGTCATAGGTCTGGCGATCCTGGAGAAATTTTCAATGAACCGACGGTAATAACCCACAAGTCCAAGGAAACTCCGAATCTGTGACACTGTCTTAGGTGGGGTCCACTTGGTAACCGACTCCACATTCGATGGATCAACTGCCACACCCTGAGCTGTAATGACGTGGCCCAAGAATTTAACCTCTGATAACCAAAAGTCGCATTTGCTAAACTTGGCATAAAGCTAGTGCTCTTGCAACTTCTCGAGTACCAGACGAAGATGTCGTTCATGCTCTTCTTCCGACTTGGAATAGATAAGAATGTCGTCAATGAATACCATGACAAACTTATACAGAAATTCCATGAACACTTTGTTCATCAGGTTCATGAAGAATGCAGGTGCATTGGTGAGTCCAAAAGACATATCCGTGCACTCATACAACCCATACCGAGTGGTGAAGGCTGTCTTGGGAATATCCTCTTCCCGAATTCTCAACTGGTGATAGCCTGATCGCAGGTCTATTTTGGAAAACACCTTGGCTCCTTTTGGCTGATCAAACAGATCATCAATCTGTGGCAAAGGATATTTGTTCTTGATGGTGACCTCATTGAGTGCGCGATAATCGACACACATTCTCTTCGTCTTGTCCTTCTTCTCCACAAAAATGACTGGAGCATCCCAAGGTGAAGTACTCGGTCGAATGTACCCTTTCTGCAGCTACTCATCAACCTGCTTCTTGACCTCTGCTAGCTCGTTGGCTGCCATCTTGTACGGTCTCTTGTAAATTGGAGCAGTTCCCGGTGCCAAATCAATGCGGAATTCGATCTCTCCCTTGGGTGGCATGGTAGTGAGGTCTTCGGGGAACACTTCTGGATACTCGCAGATGATGGGAATATCTTCCAATTTCCTCGAACTCTTCTCCTCGGTGACCACCGGAATTTCCACCTCAATCTGATTCAAGGAAACCCCCAGCTTTGGTGGGGCTGGAGATTTGTACACCACTGTTTCTCCCTTCTCATTGATCAAGGTGACCGTGCGGTTCGCACAATCAATGACGCCCTTGAACTTGGTCAACCAATCCATCCCAAGAATGACATCTAGGTCTTTGGATTCGAGAAGGATGAGGTTGGCTAGAAATGGTGATCTTTGGATTTCTATTGTTACAGAAGGCCTGAATTGAACCGAGGTGGAGCTATTTGTGGGGCTGTGTCTTGTGGGTACAGTTGTACATCTCTGATTAGAGTAGAACTATTCGAATAGCCGTGCCCGCGGTTATGGGCGGTCAACCAGATTCACCGTGATTAGTCTCACCCTAGTTTAGTCTAATGGAATTGATTAGTTCAGGTAGATGGTTGGGCCTATTGCAACGTGGAGTAGCGTTGGACAGTGGATGGTTAACATTGATTAATTATTACAAATGTTTTACTGCTTTCAACTATTGTTTATAACTGCTCGCTTTATGCAAATGTACCGCTCTACCTATCCTTTGGTTATATCCTGCATCATACCCCCTGTTCCGGTATGACTTGCTGAGTACGGTGGTTGTACTCAGTCTTGCTCTACTTTTCCCCAACCCCAGAGTTTGAGTATGCGTCAGATGGTGGCTTTTCTGAGGAGTAGGCTTCGTCCGTGCCGTTAAGGATGCCTGTGGAGTGGTGTTCCCGCTGCAGTCCCAGTCAAGGATTAGCTCCAGTTATCTTTTATTTTCCAATGCATTTATGTAAGACTTTTATAATGTTTGTAAGACGTGGATCTGTATGTCAACTTTGTCGCTTGTGTACCCCGGCCGGTCCTGGACAGGGGTTTTAATGCACATTCTGCTTGGAATTCTACTCGGGAATTTCTGGGCGTGACAACGCACCGCCACCACTGCTCTTTCTCTTTGAGCCACCATCGTTCCTCATCTCCACCTTTGCATGCGCAGCCGCACCCTCTAGTCACTGACATGACTTTCCTCCTCCCCCGTCATCATG